GAGCAATGGCATATTGACATATCCGCCTAGAGACCTTTGGGTAGTGTGGGCGGAATATACGTTAAATAAATAATGAATAAATATTACTCTCCCCCCCCCATCAACAGACCCTTTGTAGCTTGATCCACCCTACACTCAAACAGTCAATCAGGACAGGCCCAGTGTTTGTTTATTGTGGCCTAGGAAAGTCTGCCCATGGGAATTCTCCTGAGTGGAGGGAATTTTTGCCTTAGCCAGACCTCTTAGCATTACCAAGGAAATCAGGTTCATTGACCTCTTAACCCCAGTCATTCCCCACAGAGCAAGTAGGGAGGAACATTAGAGAAGAAGATGTCCTCCATAAGGCCAAAGTGCTTCATAAACAGTCCAGAGTGCTTCTGTTTAGGCTAGCTATGAGCAAATGTTGTCAGTTTGCCTCCCCTCTGCCTGGATTTGGCATAATTTGGTAAAAAAATAAATAAAGTGGAATAAAATACCCATCCATCACTAACTTGGGGTCTTAAAATCAAAACCTAGAACTGAACGAAGACACAAACCAGCACCTGACAAGGGACTGCTTGTGGCATCTGGTCTGTATTTCTTCCCAACACAGGAAAGACAGCAACATGGAGGGCAGGTCAGTTTTTTATGGAGTGGATGCTCCACAACCTTTATTGGGTGGAGTTTTAATCTGTGGAATCTTCTCTCTCTGGAGTAGTTGCCTGGCAGCTGTTTTTCATTGCGGTTTGCCTACGTTTCTGTTGAGGTGAGGTCCCACAAACTACAGCAATCTTGGCACACTCCCTGATGACAAAGAAAGAAAGGAAGGAAGGAAGGATTAAATTATATCTGTAGAAACATAATTTACACTGTAGTTATTTTGTCTTGAGGGGAGGCTAGGCTAGGTACAAACAGAATTCTTCTGTTCTGCAGATAAAAAAAGTTGCCTGGTCCGTTTTTCTGACTTGATGTGTAATAATTACATTTGTCATCTAATAAAGCAGTTATTTGATTTCAAATGCCATATGTAAAGAGCAATGTAATCAGATGACCATTAAGACCCTGTACATAATATATTCATTTACTCCACTATTGTGGTAAACAGCTGGACTGTTCTACTTTCATTAGGTGGTGGCTGGAGTCCTTTTCCTCACCAAGTTGATGGCCCATCACTGGACATTTTCAACAAAAGATTGGACAGTAATCTGTCCGGGATAGTATGAGGTCTCCTAAGGGGTTTGACTGGAAGACTTCCAAGGTCCCTTCCAACCCTATGATGATTCTATGATCTGGAACTGTGAGTTGAGGGTACGGTTACATGTACATTTAAACTTGTATTTGCAGCAGTGAACACGCTTGAAATTGATCCACAGTTATCAGTTTACATGACGTACAACTAAGAATACTTTTTTTAGGGGGGGGATTGTTCACTGGTTTTGGTTGATTTTTTTAAAAAGTCCAAATGCATGCTAGTTTAAAGTGGGGTGAGGGGGTGCTTATTCTGCATCAATTCTTATCTCACTTTTAAAAAACAATGTCAGTGTAAATTGTTTCTGTGTTTCTATGTGTTGTGCAATATTGACTGCCAATGTGACATGTTAAAAAAGAACTCTCTTTTTTTTAAAAAAAATCTACTTCTATTTTTTGAGGGAGGGAGGGAGCTTGTGGCTTGTCTAGTATGGGCTGCCTCCTGCTTCAAGCCGTGAGTGCCTCTCTGGAGCTGAGAATTTGGGTCAAGGCTGCTAATACTTCTCCCTCCCTCACTCCCTGCTGGGATTTAAAATTCTATTTGTGTAACCTCTTTTGCTTAGTCACTCTTTCTGAGCTGAGAAGCATCCACCATGGTGTGTGTGTGGGGGTGTGTGTGGGTGTGAGTGTGGGTATGGAGGGGGGGCCTCCCCAGATGACTTTGTGAACCAGCTTGTTTAAGAGAGGGTCTGTTGGAGTCTCTCTCTCAGATCTACCACCTGGGCCACCTGATCTTCTCAGACTGTGTTGTTGCAAGTTTGCCATCCTGAGGGAGGCCTGGAAAATGTCCACCAGGAATAGGGCCTTTTCGGTGGTGTTCACAACATTATGAAATTTACTACTTGCAGATGTGGACAAAGCTCCCTTCCCCCACCCTGCTGTCCTTCAGGAAGCAAGTGAAAACACTGCTGTTTAAACCGGCATTGGGTCCATTCACCTGCATGAGAAACATTTCGAGCCATGTTGTGTAAATGTCAATTGATTTGTTGTCACCATTTTTTGAGAGTTTGTTATGTGTTATTAGTTTATGTTTATGATGCTTGACTTGTTATTTTGTTATTGTTATTGTTATCTTATGTACTATTTTGTGTTCAACACTGTCTTATATGTTCTGTCAGCAATAAAAGGGAGTGTTTTTGAAGGAGCTATCCCCCACTGTGGCTTTATTCAGTTTCCTGGTATGTTGGCTTTTTGTACCTAGCTTTGGAGTGAGGCTGTTTATTATGGAGCAGAGTGAAGGAAAACACAGAAAAATTCAGAGCATCAATGGGAGGTTTTGGCCACCAGATCTATTCACATTCTAGATACCAGGATAGAAACTGAATTTTTTCAGTAGTCTGGGGAAAGTAAAATTTCTGTGGGTTAGCAGTTACTCCATTTGTATCACACATGAAAGCTACTGTACTTCTTTCTCTGTTTTATTCTGATGGGAATGGACATGGGAGGTCAAGGGAGGAGCAAATGAGGGGTGGGGAAGTGAGGGTGGCAAAAATGCATACAGTGCCATTAATGACAACTTAAACGAATGTTTATTAGTGTGCCTCCCACCCCCACAAAGTGAGGCAAGGTGAGACAAGCTGAGCCAGGAGTTCAAAGCCAAATCTTCCCCTGAAGTGCCCCAGACTCAGTGGGAGGAATTTGCTTGGAATTATGGGCACTGCTCGTTTGCCAGATAGGGAAAGGGCGGGCACATAACTGATGGGGAAAAAAGGGCTTTCAAACTGCAGTGTATAATAAATAAATTGGACCATAAAAGAACTGTTGTTAGGCTGGGTGTTGTATGCTACAAGTCACTGCGTATTTGATCTTTTCTTCTTGAGAAACAAGTTTTGGTCCAGGTTGACTCACTGCAAGACAGCTGGAAAGTAAGCTTTCTAAAAAATCACATGAAAGCAATCATCTGAAGAGCAGCAAGATACAGTATAATATCTATGTACACATGGACGAGAACCCTATTTTTTTCACCTCCTCACTCACAGCCTGAGCCCACTAGAGCCTGACAATCTCCAGTCTCTAATTTGGATTAGACATTATTCAAATGATGATGGAGAAGAGTGGAGCTTAACATCTCCCCTTTCAAAACTCTTGAAAAAAGGTCATGTTGACCTAGACTGGCTTCCAGGCTATCTGAGCTAAAAAGAAAAGAAAAGGATGCTGCTTATATACTGCCCCATAGTACTTAAAGCACTTTCTGGGTGGTTTACCATTTATTTATGCAGGCTACACATAGCGCTCCCCCCCACCCCGTGAGCTGGGTACAAAAATTGAAATTCTAGAGACATTTTTCACAAACAAAACAAGCAGTTTCAAAATAACATTTATAACATTCAAAAAGGTAGTAGCGCAAAAGTCATTTTATGTTTGTAAGAAGTGGTGTGTTTAAAAAATAAAATGGTTGAGGATGTGATAAGGCAAATGAGCAGTCTAAGGGTATGGTCAGATGACTCAAAAGGCATGAGCTTGATCACACCAGAAAGGGATTCTGTAAAATGAGTGATCTCACTTAAAATGATCTTTTCATCAGCTGGGGAATCACTTCAGTCCAGCCTCCAAAAGTAGAAGCCAAAAAAAGGTCCAGCTGAGGGACAGATTGAGGTCAAGCTGGATAGCATTTCCCTGTTTATTGTGTGAAGGCTGAGGAATAGATCACACCAGACTGCTCTGCAAGCGGTCCAAATTGTGATCAGTTTTTCCATGTGAGCACACCCTACGCTTCTCTATAACCCTGAATCTTAATCAAACACAGCCATATCTCCTCCATCTGCCAAAGATTGTCCCTTAAGACTCCAACTCTATTCTCTACAGGCAAGTTCATCAAGGTCTCCAAGATGAAAGAAACCAGTTTGGAACATAGGAAGCCTTTTCCTGATATGAAGTTACTCAATATAATCATATTATTATTGTTGTTGTTAATCAATATAATCATTGATGTCAATAAATTAAAATCAAAATCAGTGTTAATAAATACCTGGCCCCTAAGCTCTTCATCTGTTTGTTGAGGCTCTTCTTATTGTTTTGTTGAATGTTCCTCATTCTACACTACATCTTGAAACTCCTGGTGCCTTTTGCATTCCATGTCAGTAGTATCAAGTTCCACGTCCAGAGATCTTTCTCCTAATGAATGGTAGGCTTCTTAAATTTCACTGAGTGTGAGGCTCAGGAGGATCAAAGCATGCATATGCATCAGTGTTTATACAAACCCTTTACTTGAACGAATGAACAAATGAATAAACACACATAGGAGGAAAATGGGCAGGTGTTCTGTAGCAACATGCACCACTCTGACAAATTATGCCCACCCACTATGATGCAAGTTTGCCCCACCCCAGAGAAAAATTCCTCTAGATGTCCTTGCTTTACACATAGTTGTTTCTTCAAAATAATCTTACTTACTGCAATGCTTTCTCCCTGAGAAGTTTCTTTGGGCATGTGAGCTGGAGTTGAATGGATCAAAAGGAAAGGACTAAACAGCCCTATCCCATCCCCATCGGTCTACTCAGTCGGAGGCTGCTTTAATTGTTAAACACAGGATGCCCTTGGGGGAAGACCAAGACACCTATCCAGAATGTGTTGTTCTGAACTCACCTATCCAGATGCATTGTCTGTATCCTCATCTTTCTGGGCTGAAATGTCAGAAGGGGTGGGGCAGTGTGGCAGTATTCATATAATATTAACCCATCAGTGCCAGTTTGTGTTTTAAAAGACTTTGCTGCCAAGCATTGGCAACACAAGATCAACTTTCTGTATCTCAGTTCCACCTGACCTAAATCACAATGGCATCATCTGGTAGAGCAAAAGAGGTAAGAGGAAGTCCAAGCTAATCTACAGGAATCAGTCTTGTGTTATGTATTTTTCTTAATCTGCTTTAGCAGTTTCTCAGGCAAAATTACATGTATTGTTAGTTCCATTTTAAGAGTGACTGGAGTGTAAACAATACCATCTTTTCTCAAAACACAGAGTCCAGACTAGTGTCTGTAGTCTTTTACTTTCTGACATAGTGGGAGATACGTACACTAGAACAAATCTATATTTCTACTTGATTGCCTTATTTTTTGTTCTTTGTTATAACTAAGACTTCAAGGTTCCCAGTTCAGTCAGAAATGTTATGAGGATACATTGGTGCACTACTGTTTCTTTATGGCCACAGTAGCAGTATTCAGCTTAAAAACTGTGGATTGGCTCCAGACTAAATTGGATACTGTATTGAAATTAATGCACATCAATTTGAATGGGTTTGCAGCTCTCCTAGAAACACTGAATGTGGAATGTGCTTGTGAAGTCCCTCAGATCTGTGAGCAATGTGCAAATTTGGATTGACATCCAGGTCAAGGGAAACTCATGTGCATCTTTGCGTCCCTGCTTTGTTACTCTGCAGCCTGAATAGGGCTTAGCATGCACATGTCATCCTTGAGGGTACAGACTCTAAACTCAGCTCACATTGATTAGCGATAACACTCTCTGATTACACTTTAAATTACAATTCATTTACCAAAGACCAAAGTTATACTGAAATACAAAGGTTTGCTTCTCAATAAACACGTATACGATTCCTGGTCTAATTTTCAAAACCAGTGTGGTTGAATATTTACAAAAGAGCAGAGTTTACTACCTTTTCTAAGTATATTTATAAGTGAGACAATGTAGGAAGTCATTATTATTCTGGATTAATTCAAAGGCTATAATCTTCTGTATGTTAAGGGAAAGGTTGACACTGAGCTGCGTTTGCTTTCTTTCTGTGATTCACACTTTCAAGTCTCTTGTAGGAAACTCTACAAAGACCCTTGTGGGTCTGTAAGACTAACCTTTAAGACTCTTTTTAAGACTAACAAGTTTTATTTGGCATAAATTCTTCCTGTGGGCAGAGCCCCTTTTCTCAGGTGCATGAAGACGATGGCCACACAATCTCATGCCAAATAGAACTTACTTAGTCTTCAGGGTGCCACAAGGGTCTGTTATTTCTGTCATCATGATGCCTTGTGAGAATGACCAGAGTTTATGACCTCTCTTTGTAACGTGTTAGATCACCACCTTCTTTCCATCCAAGCATTAAGACAAGCAATGAGAGATTTATTGACAGACTGGGAATGGGCATGTTAATTTGTTTTGTGTACCGATGCTAATTGTCATGTCATGAATACAACTACCATTAATTTCCATGAGGTGCAGGAGACTCTTTGGTTGAACTGTGATCCTATTGGAAGGAGCTGAAATACCTAGCTGATGTCGGAGCACATGGTACAACCTATGTGACAGAACCAGTTCTTGTACCGTCTGGAGTGTTTATTCAATCCAGCCACATTCATTGAATTAGACACACTCATTGAAGTGACATGAGAATTATGTGACACAGTACAATTAGAAATGTCTAAAAACATTTTTAATGTATCATTTTTCGTACTTGTCGGCTCCCAAATTAATCTCAGAGCTTGAAACAGCCCTTTTTAAAGACCTGAGCTCTCAGGAGAACCTCTCAGCCAGGGCAGCTCATAATGATCCTGATGGAGAGATTCTTGAACTGTATCCCCAAAAGGTTTTTTTAATGAACATGTTCTGCAAATCCTTAAAGGTAGGACTCACCTGTCAAAACAACAGCTGAACAAACTCACCCTATAAAATATGTCACTCAGTAGTAGGGAGCAAATTAGGTTGGGGTGGAGATGTCTATTTCTGAAGCATCTGTGATTTTTTTTCAAAGAACATGATGCATTATCATATTTGGGGGCCTTTTGGGGTGGGGGTGGAGAGGGATGGCAGGCCCTAACTACTGGCCACTGAAAAAAGCTCTGTCACTTTACCAAAGGGCAGTGACAAAACCACAGTTGGGGGGATATTTCTTACTTCTAGGGTGAGCTGATCATCCTCTCTACTATGCTGAAACAATTCCAAAATTAAATAGAGAGGAGTTGTTGTTACATGCTGTCAAGTTGTAACTCACTTATAGTGACCCTGATGGGGCTTTCAAAGTATGTGAAGTATTTAATGAGTGGTTTTAGCAGTTACGCCCTCAATGAGTTTCCATGGCTCAGTGGGGAGCTGAACCCTGGTCTCCAGAGTCGTAGCCCATCACTATATCCACCAAACCACACTGGTTATTCAAATGATGAGACAGAGAGATGGAAATCTCCCCATGCTTCAAATTGCTAAAAGTGTATGTTCCACAACTCCAAGTCTTATGCTTCTGGTCAACACAGATAGGGTCAAAACACATTGTAAGGACACCACGCTTTATTCGCAGGTGCCCTATGAACTGTGCTTTCAAATCAGTTCTGATTTATGGAGACCCTTTCCAGGGTTTTCCAGGTATAGAGTACTCAGAAGTGGTTTATATTCCCTTCTTCTGGGGACATCCTGGGATTGTGCAGCTTGCCCAGGGCCACACAGGCTGGCTCTGCTCATAGGAGATGCAGTGGGGAATTGAACTCTAGCCTCTGGCCCTGCAGCCAGATACCCAAACTACTGAGTTATCTAGCAGATGGAAAAAAATTCCAGTCCCCAAGAGATTCTGACTCTTGGGCGGCACTGAGATACTAAGCGTTTTGCTGCTGCTGTTGTTATTGTGAATTTGCAGCCTGTGCAAAACATCTCTGCACAAAGTTAGTGTCTTTTCTCCTCCATAAAGATAAGTGCACATTCACATCAGAAGCACTAAAGAGCAGGCAATCAGATCACAAAGACACAAACAATATATTCAATACTGACACTTATATTTGTTTAATTTTACTAGTTTTCAGGGCACCTGTTGTCACATTTTCCGACACTGCATAATTGTTTTACTAGTTTTCAGGGCACCTGTTGTTGTCACATTTTCCGACACTGCATAATTTACAGAAACCAGTTTCCAAAATGTCTCCCAAAGCTGACTAAAAAGACAACAATGCACCTTTTCTGTCTCCCAACAAGGAGAACATTTTTGAGCTTTCCCATTTAATGCACAATGAGAACCCATGTCATCCCTATGAGAATGAGATAGGCATTTTCATAACCCCATGTCACAGGAGTGGTGGTAAGATTGTTTTGCCCTAGTCTGTGGGGTAGGTGGCAGCAGGGCACGACTCCATGCCATTTAAGTGGTGGTATCCCACAATAATAATGATCATGTGTCATCACGTTAGTTCTGATTTATGGCCATCCTTTCTATGGTTTTCCAGCTAGAGAATATTTAGATTTACCATCCCCTTCTTCTGGGGTCAGCCTGGGACTGTGCAGCTCGTTCAAGGCCACACAAGCTGGCTCTGTTCCTGGGAGGCACACTGGGGAATTGAACTGCCAACCTCTGGCTCTGCAGCCAGACTGGGGTATTCCATAAGAGTCAATTTACCTCCTATGCTCCACAGCATCTGAGGCTGCTCGGTGGAGTTGTTAGTGGATTTTGAGTGAGGTCCCATCAATATGTTGATGACACTCAGCTCTGTCTTCTCTTCATAATCTGAAACAGCTGAATTTTTGCAGATGATGAGTCAGTAGAGGGTTGGATTAAGGGTAAATTCTGGTACATGAGTCTTCTGTCCTGTAATAGGATTTATAGTCTTTTCTAGAAATGGTTCCTCTACTCCAAAGGACCAGGCGTGGGGGTGCACCTTGGTGCAACATTGTCCCTTGAGACTCAGGTGATCTTATAGGTTGGGATCTTTTACCAGCCATCTTTTACCAGCCATGTGAGCCATGACCTTTCCCAGAGAGAGATTGTCTGTCTGTGCTCTGCTAAGCTTATGATAATGCATTGTAGATGTTCTTGAAGATGACCTGGAATCTTTTCTCCGCTTATTTTTAAAATTTTGAAATATGGAGAAGTACAAAAGGAAAATTACAGATTTAAAAAATTTATACATTTCACACATGTCAAGGACAGCTGAAAAAAAGTTTCATAAAACTTTTCTCTAGAGATATTTGGGGCATACAGTCATATTATTGTGTTGACTTTCCCATCAGAGAATCTGACCTTCAGCATAATGAATCTTCCCTCTGGATCTTTGTATTCTTCTATCACATAGGTTCTGTAGTTTTTAATGTATATTACAATTCCTTTTTTCTTCTCTTTAGCTGATGCCAAGTATGCTTTTCTCATTTTTTGGTATTTAAAACATGTTCATGTTCTTTCTTCATGTGTATTTCTTGGATATATGTTATATTTGCTTTAAATTTAATTAAGTGATTAAATGTTCTTGAACAGTTTGTGGGGGAATTTAGACCATTGAGGTTAGAGATTGTGTGTCTGTGCTCTGCTAAGCTTATGATAATGCATTGTAGATGTTCTTGAAGATGACCTGGAATCTTTTCTCCGCTTATTTTTAAAATTTTGAAATATGGAGAAGTACAAAAGGAAAACTACAGATTAAAAAATTCATACATTTCACACATGTCAAGGACAACCGAAAAATACAATACTTAGAATCTCCATCTTGTAAAAATACTGCCAATGGTTTTAGTTTATAATTTTTTTAAAAAAAGATCCCCACATGGAGAATTTGTGATTCACTTTGAGTGTCACTCTTAAATGATTCTCCAGATGGTAAATTATCTAACTCTTCTGATTGATGCAATGTCTTTAAGCTGCCTCTCTTTAGAATTTCTTCAAATGGTTGTTTACCTTGTTCCAGGTTGGCTAAAATAAATTTCCCTTTTGGTAGTGTCACTTCCAATACACAGGGAATTTTCCAATGATACCTTATTTTTTTGCTTTCTAAGCTTTTGAGTGAAAAAGTCAGTCTTTTCTTTTCCTTGGTGCATCTGAGGGAAGATCTTGAAAAATTGTACTTCCATCCCATTTACTTCCAGTGGGTGGGTTCTTTGTTTAGTCAATATAAGGTCTCTAGTTTTCTTGTGTATAAATTTGAATAGAATCTCTCTTGGGACTTTGTTCCTTGTTGAAATTTTGGAGTTAATTTTGTAGATTTGATCAGAGTCCAATAATTCTTCTTCAGTTTTGACTTGGTCCCATATTAATGTTTAAAATTCCTCTTACAGAACAACCCAGAATCTTGAGCAATATAGTAATGCCTCAATTATATGTCTGGTACACAGACATATAATTGCCACACCAGTGTTGAAAAAGCTGCATGGTTACTTTTTTGCTGAGTTCAATTCAGGCTGCTCATGCTTGTTTTGAAAGCCCCAATGCCTGTAATCAACCAGTCCATGATGTAAACTGTAAACCATTCGGTAAACTGTTCCTCCAGTTTTTCAAAAATAAAACCAAAATGACGTTGGCTGCAGAGACAGTTGCCCAAACAAAAGTCTTGACTGCTATGGATCAGATCATAGACCCTTTAAAGCAGTGGTCCCCAACCTTGGGCCTCCAGATGTTCTTGAACTACAACTCGCAGAAGCCTTCACCACCAACTCTGCTGGCCAGAATTTCTGGGAGTTGAAGTCCAAGAACATCTGGAGGCCCAAGGTTGGAGACCACTGCTCTAAAGGATCAGGTACATAGCATGGGCTGCTGTTAATATTTGCCTAGTGGAGGGTGGAAGTTCAGGTATCCCCCATGGCCTGTAGCTCTATTTACCTTTGCACTGCTTTGCAAAGCTGAGTCTGTTTATAGCACAAATTATAATAATAAATATTTGTTATTCTTCTCCAGATGGAAGACTCTCCTTGCTATTTGCTCACTGTGAATGTCATACAGATAAAAAACCTGCACAAAGCAGATTTATGTGAGTATGCTACCGTATAATAACATTTATAGTAATATTCGCTTTCAGCAGAGATTCTGTGCAGCATCTCTTAATTTACTTTGATGTAGCATATTTACTGAGAGGCCACTTGTAGTACATAGAACAAAATGTGCATAATATTTGCACACCAAAGTGATTTTATTTTATTCATATACTGCCTCATTACAGCATGCAGTACTCTGGGTGGTTTAGACTGCAAAACTGTTGAAATGAGAAGTATAATGCATGTCACCATAGTAAGGGTAACAGAACAGAGGGAGAAGCTGTTCATGTTAGAATGTTGTGATTCTTTCTTTACCTTTAAATTGGTCTTGTGTTGCATAACCTTTCGCATGGAAGAGACTTTTTAAACTGAGGATTGCCTTTTGATAGCTTCAACTTTTCACAATCGGTGCAAGGACGTAACAGTATGGTAAAGCCACAAAAATCTCTCTAAATGTATGTATTTATTTGTTTATTAGATTTTTACCCCGCCCCTCTAGACAATGTCTACTTGGGGTGGCTTACATAGATAAAAACACATCAATATAACATATATAAAATCATAAACAATACAATTATAGCGATTAATTCCAAACAACACATTATCAAGATGGCAAAAAAATTTAGAAATCACTTAATTGACTGGAGGGAAGGCCTGCTTGAATAGCCAAGTTTTAACTGGCTATTCAATAACAAATATTTATTATTATAAACATCTCAGATCTATGTTATTCATTCCATGCTATTCATTTGCTGCTCTAAGGAAGCTTTTGAAAAAATGCAGGATCTTCCTCTTTTAGAGAGTGATGAGGAGAGAGGAGCATGCATGCTTATCATACTCTAGAGCAGTGGTTCTTAACCTTTGTTACTCAGATGCTTTTGAACTGCAACTCCCAGAAACCCCAGTCAGGACAGCTGGTGGTGAAGGCTTCTGGGAGTTGCAGTCCAAAACTCCTGAGTAACCCAAGGTTAAGAACCAGTGCTCTAGAGAATGCCCCAAGATCTTTTGACCTCAGCATTTCAGGTTGTTAAGGCTTTAAATAAGGCCAAAGGGACACTCCTGCCTTCACCACCCATTATGTTACTACGATTGCTCCAAGGTGCAGAAGGGAAAGAAAGCCTGGACACCCCATAGGGCGCAAAATTATTTGCAAGCCTAGCTAACATTCAAATGGATTTCGGCTGAAATTGTGAAAAGCTTTATATTTCCAAATCTGCCAAGTCGCAAGAGAATTAATCTATTTTTTTTTCTAACTAAGATCTCTGTGGTTCTGTCTATCTTTCTGTCTGTCTAGTTACTTTTCTGGCCAGAACGTAAGCAGTATTTGCTCAAAATGGATTTCTGTTCTTCGATATAGGCACTGAACCACCTTCTGTGAGGTCCTTCTGCAACATATATAGAGAGTATTTTTAACAGTGGTTCCCCACCTTTTTCAAGTTGTGACCCCCTTTTATAATGGCCAAGTAACCTGTGAAGCCCCCCATGTTTACATAAAATGACATTTTTAATGGGGTAAAGGCATCCTTTCTCAGAAAGTAGAGGATTCTTTCTCCCCTAAAAGGACTTCTTTCTCATACAAACACATACGTACTAATTTTAATATCCCGCTCTGAAGGGTCAAGAAAGAAATTATTTAACAAGGGCTACAACACATATAAGGTGACCCACGCCCCCCCCCCCCAGAAAAGACTTTGTGACCCCTCAGTGTTCATGACCCCCAGGCTGGGAAACACTGATTTAGATGCATAAGGTTGTGCTTAACAAAAAATAAAAAATAAAAAAAAAATCTGAAAGGCAATATGTTAGATTTCATCTTGCAAAAGCTGCAGTTAGAGGCGTCAATTTGGTGCTTAGCCTGCCTGGTGAGGCTGAAGGCAACCACTTGTGAGTCATCTCAAGAGTTCCTTTTGTCTTTGAACCTTCATGACAGTAGCACTAGATGGATGACATTAAGAACAAAGAGAAGTGTGGGTGGATTTTATGCTGCAATGGATGGCTAACCATGCTGGATTTAAAATCAGTTTCATCAAGCACAAAATTTCCCACAAGGAAATTAATTTAAAACTGTCATTAAGCCACCCCATCCTTGAAGGCATGGGGAGGCTGAACAATGTAATTTTTTTACAGCCACTTTTAAAGGGAGGAGAGTGGCTGTTGTTTAGTCGTTAAGTCATGTCTGACTCTTCGTGACCCCATGGACCAGAGCACGCCAGGCCCTCCTGTCTTCCACTGCCTCCCGGAGTTGGG